TGTGTGTGTGTAGTGTGTGTGTGTGTGTGTGTGTGTGTGTGTGTGTGTGTGTGTGTGTGTGTGTGTGTGTGTGTGGATGTAGTGGTTAGTGGTTAGTGGTTAGTGGTAAGTGGTTAGTGCGTGTGGTGTGTGCGGGGCCGGGGCCGGGGCCGGGGGGTTACTGTAGGGAAGAGAGAGTGTGGTGCGCGTGTGCAGGCGGTAAGAAACTGGGCTAAGCAGGGGTAGTTGGGGGGTAGTGGAGGGTGGGAAGTCCAAGGTCAGATGAGTACTTGTAGGCATATTCTATTTACTTTTACTTTTACTTTTACTTTTACATTTACTTTTACATCTACATTTACTTTTACTTTTTTGGGTTTTGTATTGTGTTGTGTTGTTCATATGAGACTGAGACTAACAGAGAGACAAGAGAGGCAAACCATGATATCCTTATTTCAAACATTAATTGTTGTTGTTGTTTTTTTGGGGGTTTGAATAGTATGGAACTAAGATGAACTGCGTTATGTATATGTATATGTATATGTATTGTATTATATTATATTATATGCATGTTTTGCGGAGGTTGGTGCGTTGGGTACATGTCGAACTATCCTTGGGGTTATGGAGGTAGAAAATGGGAAATGGGAAATGGGAAATGGGGAGAGCGAGCCGCTTGTAGGTTGTAGGTTGTGGCTTGTATGCTGTATGCTGTATGCTGTATGCTGTATGCTGTATGCTGAGTGGAATGGGGGGGGGGAAAGAAAGAAAGAGGATGTGTTGGGATGTTGGGATGTGCGTCCGGTGAAGAAAAAAGGCTTCATTCATGATAGGATGCGCTCGCTGGCTGGCTAGCATTTCTATTTACCCATGTACATAGCCAAGTGCGGCTTGTATACCGTACGACGTAGATAGATGGTATACGTACTTGATTTAGCGCGTTATGTAGAGTTTAGATGTAAAAGAGGTAAGGAGATAGATTAAGAGATAAGGGCTACTTTTCTCTCTCTCTGTATGCCTATGTAAGGATATTAATGTAGTGTAGTGTAGTGTAGTGTAGTGTAATGTAGTGTGGTGTAAGGTGTAAGGTGTGTGTACTCTCTCTTCTACTACTACTATCTATGTGTATGTGTATGTGTATGTGTAAGTGTGTGTAAGTGCGTCTAGCCTAGACTAGTCCAGACTAGTCCAGACTAGTCCAGATTAGGAAGACAAGGACAAGAGATGCACACGGAAATGTGAATACATGTAATGTATCCTCGTTTGTTTTGATACATTCCTCCTACCTAACTATTTACACCAAGACGTCGCTAGAAGACATATATACATGCTCCATCTCAGCATCACATATCACGCATATCGAAACCTAACACTTTGTTCCCCTCGCCTCGCCTTGCCTTGCCTTGCCTTGCCTTCCCGCTTCCTTGATTCACACCTACCTACACCTACCCTACCTACATACATACGTCGTGCATGCGCATACGCATCTGCATCATGCATGCATGCAGCCACTTTGAGTCTCTCTCTCTCTTTTAGCAGCCAGCGAATCACAATGCCACAAGGCGTTTGCAGCAGGGATGTCGGGGGGGGGGAGCGAAGGCGTGGGCGCTTAACCAGGGCTGTGGAGACGGGCGGCGCTAGGGATTTTTTTTTTCCTCTTCCTTTCCTTCTTATTCTTCGTCTGATTCAGTGACTGAGGGTGGGATAGGCTGTTCAGGTGTCGGTGTCGGTGTCGGTGACGGCGACGGGTAAGGTGAGGTCATGTGAAGAGTGGTGTTGGGTTGGGTTGGGTTGGTTGGTTGGGTGGGTGGGTGGGTAGGTGGAGGCGAGATGGAGGCGTGAATGGGGGGGATGGAGGGGTTGGAGATTGGAGATGCAGCCGGTGAGGTTAGTTGGAGCGAGGGGTGCGCAGTAGGGTGCCGTTGCTCTGGGACAGCAAAAAGCCGAGGTATCATTGTTGCTTAGTTGTGGCAATTCAGTTTCTCCCGTATGTATGTATGTAGGTATTATTGCAGTTACACAGTTGGGATTTTTTTGCAGTGCGTGGATACGTGTAAGTGGTCACGTCTTGGCTTCACATACTGTAGGTGTACTTAGTCATTTCTATCCATCACTCTACACCTACCCTACCTACCCCAACCACGCCCACTCCAATTTTCGTATCCCATCTACATCATACACTGCGCGCACATCACACCCTCGTTACAGCACACATCCCCGTCACACATACAGCTTTCCCTCGTCCTACAGCCTCGCGCCATGCACACATCACCCCAAGCGTAGCATTGGACCGAGCCTACTGCCGAACCATAGTCGGAGCATGTACACCTAAGTGAGGGAGGGAGAGAAGTGTGACAACAACACACACGCGGCACGCTCGCCTCGCCTCGCCTCGCCACTCCTTCGCTTCATCCTGTCAATAATGTCTACGAGTCGATGCATGTGTGCGGCACACGCCCTTCGCATATCGCGCATAGCATGCCATGCCATCGGGATCCCATCGAGCTTCATCGGCTGTTAGGGCTAGCAGTGGCCATGGTGGCTTTTTGCGGCGTCTGTCCGCGCTTCTGCCTCTGACTCTGTGTCTGCCAAAAGGATCAAGGACAAACCGTGCCGCAACCGCCCAGTTCATCCCGTGTGTTAATGCCGCCTTTTTTCAATCTAGCTGATGTCGCCATGGTCTTGTTGTGGGTCGCAAGAATTAAGGGTTGCTGTTGGCGATGCGGCAAGGTGATATTGGCATTCAGATACAGTAAGAGAGAGGGAGAGAAAGAGGCACAGCAACGTCAATGCTTACTTACTTAGACGCGCGCTCGCTCGCTCATATCTTCCCGACGCGCTGGATGTGACGATGCGACGGGCTGGGACTGGGGGAGAGACGCGGGCGCGGGCGCGCGGGCCTGAAAAAAAAAAGCTGGGCGCGCTGCCGTCCCGTGTCATGCCCAAGCATGTAATAATGAGCAAAAACGAGGCCAACCGTTTCTCTCATGGCCCTTTGACACGTGCCAAACAAACAAAAAAAAAAGGGGGCAACTCCCATCACAAAGGGTATTTTGTGGATATGACCAAAAAGGAAAAAAACATCACAACACGAAACCACGATACGAAACGAAACCATCAAAAACCATTGGCAATAATAATAATAATAATAATAATAAGAAAAAAAAATCAAATTCGGTAACATCCGTGCGTTTCGCTCTGTTTTTCTCGCGCTCTCCTCCGTCCTTCCTATTCCGTCTTGCCCGATAAAATAGAAGATAAAAAAACCTACATACATACAAATCTGCCCTGCTATATGCCACATCTACCCCTGTAATAACAATAAGTGTTGGGTCTTTTTTGAAAGCAATAATGCACGAGCTGCAAAAAATATCGCACGCTCGTTCACATGGCTGGAATGGTACATGCCCCCCCCCTTTTTTTTGACATGCATACAGGCATCCATGCAAGGCTTGTATTAGGTATGTAGGTATGTAACGAGGTGTAGTGTTGGCGTGGCGTGTGAAACCCACACAAGAAAGTTTGACGCTTGGGACCTGACTAGTTGTGTTTGGGGAGGTGGATAAGGGCATGTAGATAGGTAAAGGAGAGTAAGGAAAAAGGGAGAGGAGACTAACTTTATCTCCTGAAATGTCACGCTCGTTTGTTTCAAAGGGTGCGTGTGCATGTGCATGGTTGGCGCCAAGGAAGGCAGGGCAGGGCAAGGGAAGAGGAAGAGAAAGTAGAAGTAGAAGAGGAAGGGATATCCGGTCCCACGGCAGAGTGTGTAGATACTAAGGCGCTGGTATAGCTAAGGGAGAGGGGGATAGCGAGAATACGAATTGGATTGGATTGAATTGGATGGGATAGGATTGGGTTATACTACCAATGATATGAGCCGTGTTTGCGATTGATTGCTATGCTATGCTATGCTATGATGTGATGTGGTGAGGTGAGATGAGATGTGTTGTGTATAAGAATAAAGGTACCATGGCTGTAAAGTCTCTAATAAAAGAGAAAGAGAAAGAGAAAAGAAAAGAGAGAGAGAGAGATGCACTGTGGCATGCCCAAGTATATCGAGAGATATACTGTGATTATCGCATGTACAGTACAGTAACACATGGTCTTTTGCTATACTTCTTCTTCTTCTTCTTCTTCTTCTCAGAAACATCAACTAACTAACTAACTAACCAACTAACTAACCGATTAACCAACTAGCTATCTATCTATCTATCTATCTAGATACTCGCTATCTTCATGCCACCCCCCTCTTCCAACATCCAAACATCCAAACATCCAAACATCCAAACATCAAAGACTCGGGCCGTATTGTTTCCAATCTCACTCTTCGTCCCAGACTGGGCTTGGTTTTGACTTTGATTTTGATGTTTGATGTTGACTTTAGCTTGACAGTGCTTGTTCTGTCATCTTACATCTCACAACTTACATCTCCCATATACATGCGATTCCCGGCGCCTTGTTTCTTATTATATTGGGTATATTTTGTCCTGATTCGAGTGGAATGCGATAATGTGACGACGAGGAGGCATAGACTATGCTGTGCTGTGCTGTAGTCGTGATGGTGGTGGAGGAGATGGGTTCAGCAGTCAAATTAAAAAGCCATAGATGATTATTTCTGATGATATAAGGTGAGGATGGTGGTATGTAATATACACAACTTCACACAAGTACATATACTCCACACAAGCACATCCATGACCGCAAGACTAAAAACGAATACTTAGTCCCGTTTGGTATGTAAATAGAATGAAATCTAAATTCCTCGCTGTGATACTACATCCTAGCTCGCATGGAAAGATCGAAAAGGGCCTACTTAGTTAACTACTAAACCCTCACTGATCCGCTACACATGCTCAAACAACTCTACCCGCCCATAGCAACGCCCATTCGTCTCTCTCATTCAGTCCGATGCCAGCTGGATCTTGACTACAAGCCCAAAAATCTGTCCGACCTCGAATGAAGCACGGATTGCAGCCTTCCTAGTGAACATGTCGACATGTGCACTTCTAGTCCTCTTGACAGGGTCGCATTCAGAAAGGAGGGTCATGGCGCGGCTATGTGTGGTGAGATTAGAATCTGAATCATCGTAATGGGCTGCAGTACTTACATGTCTCTCCGGTATTTAGAGAAGAACATGCGGATGTCTTTCAATTCCACATCGGCAGCGAGGTTGGACAGGATGAGGCGATGTCGGAGGTGAGTCTTCTTGAGTGCGTGGGTGTTCTCTTTCTGAATCATTGTTTTTTTCTCTTGTTCGGACGTGCATGTGTTCATGCCGCTGCCAAATAGATACGTGCACCAGGCGTTGATCTCTTCCCATTTGTAACCAGAACTCTCGAGCATAAGTGCCACCACGTATGTGATAATATCAGGATCCAGTGCTTCAGCTGTGTCGCCCTGGGAATGTTGGTGGCTCGTTCCCTTCACCCCCGCAGTAGTCATGGTCCGAGTTGTAAGTAGAGTATTCTGGTCTTCCAGTTTGTTGGAAAGTGACTGTCCTGTTGCTGATTCACAATGTACCGCCTCAATGTCACCATCATCTTTATATCGATCCTGACTCAGCACTTCCTTTTCCCTATTGAGATCTGCAAGCATAGCCTTCGGGTCGCTAGGGCTATTCACATCGACTTGATCAGTGCCTGGTCTATTTGCAATCAAAGACTGTCGGTTGATCTCTCGAATCATTTCCCGTGGGTCATCGACAGACTCGGACTTGTTTGTAGACACTTGATCTACTCCTGCTAGTCTAGCACGATTCAGATCTTCGACATCGTTGCAGCCGTCCTGAGTACCGATGTTGGAAGACCTTTGCACCGCGCATCCAGGTTCTGCGACTAGAGCTGTAGCATCAATGTCATTGTCCGCATCATTGCTTTCGCATCGGTCGGCCTGCTGCTGACCAGCTGTACCTCATTGTCAGCCCCGTAAACCCGCAAAGCGTCTCAGCACAGATACGCAACGTCATCGCAATACCTGTATCTTGCAATTGGCACCCGCCAGCCGCGCTCCCGGAATCCTCGTCTTCATATTCGAATCCGAGACTGCTACGGCGAGAACCGCCAGTGTGAGGAAGCTGCGCCTTAGAGGGGACTGAAAGCGTGCTTTCCAACGTGTGAGTAGGCATTGTGGGCGTGTGCTTCGACGGCATGTTGGCTCGATCTCGCAGGATGGTGTCTTGGTGCTGGCTCGCTCGGAGTAGAGTATCGGTGATGCTGGCTAGCTGGCGGTGCAGCAGGCTGCTTGCCATGTTGGGAGTGGGTCGAGTTGTCGCTGCTGCCACAGCTATCGCTGCTTCCTCGTTTGTGTAGATAATGCCTTGCTTTCTTGTTTTGCTTCGTAATCAGCGACTGGGATGGCAGGCTGTTGTGAAGCTCGGCGATTGTTTACTGAGGCAAGTTTCTGGTTGCGGACTTGCTTCTCACAAGTGAAACATACTGTTCTCTGTACAAGCAGCTTCTGCGTAAAATCTTCGCATTGGATGTTGTCGCAGATGATGGGACTGGCGTTTGTTTGCACAGCCAAAAGAGAAGGCAGCCTAGACCCGTCTTCACTGCCAGGTTCACTAAAGTATGCTGTTAACACGGCAAGTCGAAATCATAAGTAGTCCTTTGAATATTTGGCTTGTACAAGACAAAACCGAAATCCAGTTGCTTCTTCAGTGCTGCTGCAATGAATAAAACATGACATAGCCAGAATATAGACTATAACTTGAAAGCCATGACCCAAGCAAATGGTATAACCCTTGCATCCTGTGCCACTGGCATAACACCAAACGTACCCGCCATAGAAGAGAAATTCAATAGGTAAACCTACCCGAGGCAATCAGGTATTTTGAGACTAAAGACTTGCTCTCCAGAAGCCCAATCTCACGCGCATCCTCAACCCTACAGCTTCTTCTTGCCCGCGACCTTCTTTTCCTCAGCCAAGCGCTCAATCTCCTGAATCTCCTTCTCCTCAGCCCTCTTGGCATACCACTGTCCAGCCTGCAACACGAGTACGCCCACCAAGACAAGCGCCAAGATTGTGTTGCTGGCTGCAAACACGCGCAGAGTGTCCTCCCTCGAGATGTAGTCGCCCTGGTCTTCTTCAGTCACTTCGCCTGGCGAGGCCTTGTCCAAATCGCCATAGATGCCGGCCGTCACGACCCTGAAGCCCTTGACAATGTTGGTCAGGTAGACGGTGATACCAGCCATGTAGAGCACAAGCGAGGCGCCGTCAAAGAGCATGTTGGCCTGGTTGGGCTTGAACAGCTTGATGAGGAAGCCGAGGATGCCGGTGCCGATGGCCAGGTTGAGGATGCGCGAGACTATGGGGGGCGAGGCATAGAGAAACTTGATGTGTGACTCGAGAATGTCGAAGTAGGATGCGACGTCAGTGGGCGTGGTCCACAAGACATTGTAGTCGTAGGGAAGCTGCGCAAAGAGGATGCCGAGGAAAAAGCATGTTGCTGTGTGCTTGTTAGACGCTGCATCGTGCGCACAGTCGACCACTGCGGCCTGGGCTGGCCTGGGCTGAGGCTGACAGGCGAATTGAGGGGCCTACGTACGTCCAACCACCATGAACTGCGCAAAGTTGTTCGCTGCGCCGGGTGCCATACTTGGGGTAGAAATGCGATTTACAAAGCCTAGGGCATGCGCGCCGTCTGCAGGATTGTTAGAGGCCAGGTGGAAGCGGGCGCAGGCTTATCGTCGCCGTCCAACTAACCGCGAGGCGCAAGAATTCTTGATTGAGGTAGCCTCTTTGAGAAGGTGAGACCGGGATCAAGACGTGGGTGCAAAAGGCTCGTCACGGTGCAAGCAGTAGGCCCGAGTTCTGAGCTGGCTGCTGAGGACGTCGTGATATCCGGTGTCTGCGAAGCTGAAGCAAGCTCTCCCACGCCCGCTCTTCGCCAACGACCCCGCGAGGGTTCACGCCGCCAAGTACGCCGCCTGGCTGCAGTTGCATGCCTTGGCATGTGGCCGCATAACAACCGCACGCCACACTCTTCGCGCCGTCTGCAGCCTCCAGCCTTCATCCTGGAACTCAACCGCTTCATTGTATGCTATATGCGACCCTGTATATACCTGCAAACACGATAGACATGCCCTGCGCGTCGCTTGGATATCCAACGCCTTGGTACGCCATGCCCAGAAACTCCCATTTGCGCTGCCACCGTTTTCCTTTACGCGTAATCTAGAAGTCATTGTCGGCATCCATGTCTTCGTCTTCCATGCCAGCCTCGATGAAGACAAGCCGTGTTCCCTCTCCGGTAGTTTGCCAGACCTTTTGAGCATTAGCACACGGTAGCTTGCATTGCATTGACAGGCACTTACATCGAGCATGGCGTATTCGTCAATGGCCGATTCGAATTGGTCCGCGGTGAAACCCTTGGCCAGCACTCTTTCTCGGACTCTGCGGAGATCGAGCTCACCCCTGGTGCCATCACCCACAGCCGCAGCACCACTGGCCTCCATGGACTTGATGAGGTGGTAGATCTTGCTGCTAGGAGTATGGTCGTCCCGGCGGTTCTCGTCGGCGTAGAGACTGGCCTTGCTGACCTCTACAAGACGGAGAGCCTCGTCGACATCTTCCGAGATGACCTGTTCAGCAAATCGCAGACGTGCCAAAGCTTGGGCAAGGCGGAGCACACCCAGGAGCGTACGCGGTGACGTGTGCGTAAAGGCCTTCTTGTTGCCGTCGTCACGCTTCTGTTGCTGTCGCATGCGCACGTAGGCGCCCACCATGTAGTCTGCCACCTCCTTGGGCACAGTTGGTCGGTAGGACCTAGCACGCGCAACCCACTGTCGTACCTCGGCAGGGCTGAAGATGATGCCCCCAGGCGCTTCAGGGTGCGCGTTGTGCATGTGGACGTGCGTGACGTGGCGGGCGAGCTCTTCGTCAGAGTCGCGGGCGGGGGTATCTAGGATGAGGAAAAGAACGTCAAAACGAGACAGAAGGGCGGCTGGGAGGTTGATGTTCTCAATCGGCGACAGGCGCGGGTTGTAGCGGCCGTACAGCGGGTTGGCGGCTGCAAGAATCGACGTGCGAGCGTTGAGCGTCGTCGTGATGCCAGCCTTGCTGATGGAGATGGTCTGTTGCTCCATGACTTCGTGGATGGCTGTTCGGTCGCTGTCGTCCATCTTGTCAAACTCATCAATGCAGCACATGCCATTGTCGGACAAGACAAGAGCACCTCCCTCGAGAACCATCTCGTCTGTTACCGGGTCGCGCATGACGGCAGCCGTAAGACCAACACCACTGCTACCACGGCCAGTCGTGTAGACACCGCGAGGCGCAACCTTGGTGATGTATTTGAGCAACTGGGACTTGGCCACACCGGGATCACCCATGAGACAGACGTTGATATCACCACGGATGCGCATACCGTCTCCCACCTCTTTCGTAACACCGCCAATGAGTTGGAGAAGAAGCGCCTTTTTGACATCGACATGGCCAAAAATCTCAGGCGCAATGGATCGCGAGAGGTATTCGTATAGCTGGCCGGTCCTCTCGAGCTCGTTCATTCTTCGCAGAGTAGGCTGGGCAAGCACAATGTCGTCGTAGGCCTTCTTGTGCTGCAAGACGTATTGTGCTTCGAGGTAGGTATCGGTAAGAAGACCTGCGCGGATCGCCTTGAACCCAGTGTAGGGGGTTGGCAGGAAAATACCCGTGCAATCAATGACATCTCCGGGGTTAATCTGGCGAACCAAAGCGCCGTGGCAGTGGATGGTGAGCTGTCGAGGAATATGGCCGACGGGCACCTGGTCGGCCATTTCTTGAATCTTGACTTCCTGGAAAGGCAGGAATTTGGAAGCACGGGTAGACAAGAACAGCTGGCCCTTGGTCTTGTTGCTCTTGCACTCTTCCGAAGGACACTCTACAAGTGGGGTGAACTGCTTCGTTGTCACGGGCTGGAAGGCTTCGCCACCGCAGCGGTCGCACGAGTAGGCGTTGACTTGTACTGCAGGCTTGACATCCGAGACCCTTGTTGCAATACCGCGGACTGTGATGAGGTGGCCCAGGTGCTCTCCGCGCACGTTCCGGACGGCGAGGGCCTTCATACTGCGCTGGCTGCTGGAGCCAGATGGGACTCTGGGCTTGAAGTTCAGGGTATAGCGTCGCGTCAAGGCCGGGGGAAACATGGACTCTGGGGCAGCCTGGGTGATGTCGTCGACGCCCTGTAGCTCCTGCATCCTCTCGTTGCGCTTGGAGCGCTGTGTCATGATCACGTCGAGCACGTCGTCTTTGAAGCTGCGCATAGTCAGTGCTGGTGCTGCAAAAGTCTGCGAGGGCATCGCACTTTAGTTCTCTCGTGGGCGCCGGAAGACACTGGTCGACTGCGCGCGAAAAGATGTCAATGTAGTGATGCGCATTGCGCTCGATGGACTCGATCAACCTCAGGTTGTGCTCGTCGTCGGAAGTTGCTTTCTCGTACTGGCGGCTATCAGCTGTGCGACGCTGGCTGTGCTTGACCGCCACTCACAGCCTCGACATCGTTGAGGTCTATCTGGATCTCGTCCCGCATGCGATTTGCGACTTCCTGCAGCTGGACCATGTACTTCAGCTTGGACTTGGTGCCCGCGTGGGCGGGGTCTTGTTCGTCATCGACCATGTCATCCTCGTCGTCGTCGTCATTGCCGGAAAGGTTGAGCCCCTCGAGCTGGTCTGCAGCTTCGGCCGAGGTGGATTTGTAGTTTTTGAGAAAGTCAACAAAGGCAGCTGTGTGCTGTTATCAGCTGGGGGCATGGTGTTGAGCGCTCGCGCGGTGTACAAACCTTCCTGCTCGCTGTAGTTGACTGGCGCACTCGTGGTAAGCAGCGCCATGGCGTCCGAGATGAGAAGTGCACTGCGTGGAAGAGAGGGCCGGGAGGGTGTGGGTGTTTGCAGTGATATCTCGGGGACAATTGCAGCGGGGAGGGATGCGCGGTAGCAAAATCGGGGCTGGGCGCGTTGCCAGCTGGTGGAGCGCGTCGACCCGCGTTTCCAGGGCAGTGCGGCCATTGGACCGCCGCCAAACTGCCGCCCGCCACCGCCCCAGCGCCCATCGGCGCCGACGACCTCGGCAGGCGGATGAAGCTCTGGGGATGTTGATGGCATGATGACGGCCGCCATGCGCTAGCCCGCTGCCTTTCCTTTCCATTCCTCCCCCAACACCAACCATGCCGCCCAAGAAGCCTGCGGGCAACGTCGTCCACGCCGAGATTGCCGTCCAGCAGTCGCTCAAGAACTGCCTCGTCAACCTGCCGCCGTCGCTCGTCTCGGTGCTGGTCAACGCCAACACTGTACGCAACAACATGTGCCGCCCTGGCTCTCCACCGCCGCCCAATGCTGACCGCGTGTCCAGGTCGCCCAGAATGTCGTCGTCGAGCTCTCGTACCGCCAGCCGCCCCCTCCCGGCGCTTCGGACAGCAAGAACGTCGCGCCCAAGTCAGTCTTCATGGGATGGACGGGCATGCAGAGCAAGCGCAGGATTGCGCCTGTAGTGGGCAAGGACGGATTGCGAGGCAGCCCGGCCGTCAGCCAGCAGGATCTTCCTGCCGTCGAAGTCGATGCGACGTTTGCACGACTGATCGGTCTCCAAGACGGCCAGAAAGTCGGCATCATACTGCATCTGGACCCTCCCCAGGCGCATACCATCAACATCGAGCCATTGACGCCGGTCGACTGGGAAATGATCGAGCTGCATGCCCAATTTCTCGAGCTAAACTTCCTCTCGCAGATCCGCGCACTTCCCAATCCCCAAGCCCAGTCGCCGCATCCCCTGACGCTTCACCTCTCCCCTACTACGACCGCCAACATTACAGTAACCTCCATCACCCCTGCGCCGGAGAACTCGTCTCCTTTTGTGAAGATCTCTCCCGACGCCGAAGTCATTGTTGCGCCCAAGACACGTCAAAAAGAGAGAAGCTCGACGCGCGAAAGCCGGAGCGTAGGCGCTGCTTCGAGAAAGAGTGGAAAGAGCGCTGCAAGCACAGTTCGGCGGCGCAGCGGTCGCGAGGAGGCTGTGAGCAAGGGTGTCGTCTTCTTGCGCGGTGTCGACCGGAGCGTGGCTCAGGAGTGGTTCGATGAAGAAGACGATGCAGAAGCCGAGGGTCTGAAGGTCTGGGTCGACAGCGAAGTCCTTCTGACAAAAGCACTGAGAGGCGCTACTTGGGTTTCTGTGGCGGTCATCAAGCCTGCAGGACTGCAAGAGCCCGTCGACATGTCCAAGGAACAAGAGCAAGAGAAGCCTGCGACTCGCGTGGTAGCAAGACTCGTAGCATGGGAAGATGCACCGGATAGCCGTCATGTGGCGCTTTCGACCGACCTCTGCAAGGTGCTGGGCTGCGAGAAATTCGTCGGCGGGCTCGTCCGGATCGAAGCTGCTCCTGCGCAAACCCCCAAACCGCCCGCCATCAAGTCACAGGGTACGAAAGAGTCGCGGGAACCAATTGTGAAGACGGTCAAGATTATGCCTTTTGCCACGGCCGCGTCAATCAGCAACGCATCGCTCAAATTTGGCGGGGAATCCAAACAAGACCAAGAAATTGCCATACAGAAGATCAAAACAACATACGGAAAGAAGAACGGTATGCTGGACGGACCAGTCACAGATGGCATGATACTACCGCCAATCAAGGATTCCGAGCTTGGCTGGCAAGGAGGCATTGTCAAATTCGATCCACCATCAACAGCTACTGGAGTGTCATGGGTCCTCTTTCCCGAGAGAAAACCGCCCCTTGAACTAGGTCAGGAGGTGCCAGTACCTTGGAGCTGGACAAAGGGATGGCAGCAAGGCGAGCCACTCCCCGAGACTCCGGCACATCTGGTTGGAATTGATCCTCTGATTCAACAACTGAGATCGCATCTAACGCACAACTCATCCGTCCTCCTTACCGGAGGACTTGGAGCAGGAAAGTCCGAGTGCGCCCAGCTTCTTGCGCACCAGCTTCGAACAGAATACCTGTTCAACACCATATACTTCCCTTGTCGCAAACTGGTCACAGACGAGACACGTGTTACGACCATCAAGGAAACGCTCAATCGGCTGTTTGCCTCGGCATCGTGGGGCGCGAGGGGCGGCGGAAATGCAGTTGTCATTCTGGATGACCTAGACAAGCTATGCCCTGTGGAGACTGAGCTCCAGGTCGGCAACGAGAATGGTCGAAGCCGGCAAGTCAGCGAGTGTTTGATCAGCATCGTCCGCCAATATTGCTCCATGGACTCTGGTGTAGTGCTGTTAGCCACGGCACAAGGGAAGGAAGCGCTAAACAATGTCGTCGTCGGCGGTCACATTGTTCGAGAAATCGTCAGCTTGAAGGCACCGAACAAGGACGGCAGAAGAAAGGTCATGGAGATGCTAGCTTACAAGGACGCTAAGCCAGAGTCCAAGGAGAAGGTCAATGGCCATGCCTTCCCAGCCTCCCCAACAGACAGTCGACCAAGCACTGCCCATCGCAGCCATGCCAGCATCGACAGCATACCAAAACCACCTTCTGACGAATATGGCTTCGCTGTCGACCCTACCATCGACTTCCTTGATCTTGCAGGGCAAACAGACGGCTACATGCCCGGTGATCTTGTCCTTTTGACTTCGCGCGCACGGAACGAAGCACTCATTCGCTCCGTCACATCCACATCACCTACCGTGTCTCTTACTCGAGAAGATTATGCCCAGGCCCTCTCAGGTTTCACCCCCGCTTCGCTGCGCAATGTCACCTTACAATCTAGTACCACAAAATGGGACTCAATCGGCGGTCTTCATAACACACGGCAAATTCTCATGGAGACTCTTCAATATCCTACCACATACGCTCCCATTTTCGCAAAATGCCCGCTGCGTCTGCGCTCAGGTCTTCTTCTCTACGGCTACCCCGGGTGCGGCAAAACACTCCTCGCCTCTGCAGTGGCAGGTGAATGCGGTCTCAACTTCATTTCAGTCAAAGGTCCGGAGATCCTCAACAAGTACATTGGTGCGTCTGAAAAGTCAGTCCGTGATCTCTTCGAACGAGCCGAAGCAGCACGACCCTGTGTTCTTTTCTTTGACGAGTTCGATTCGATTGCACCAAAGCGTGGCCATGATTCTACAGGTGTGACGGACCGTGTGGTCAACCAGCTCCTCACACAGATGGATGGTGCCGAGGGTCTTTCAGGCGTATATGTCTTGGCCGCCACCTCACGCCCAGATCTCATTGACCCTGCCCTGCTCCGTCCAGGTCGTCTCGATAAATCCCTTCTCTGCGACATGCCCGACGTGGAAGAGCGCATCGACATCCTCCGCGCCGTAACCGCTAAACTACATCTCGCGCCCAGCGTCCTCTCGTCAGACGCCACTGGCCAAAACCTCCGAGAAATCGCCAGCAGAACAGAGGGATATTCAGGCGCCGATCTGCAAGCCGTCGTCTACAACGCACAGCTTGAAGCCATCCACGACGCCCTCGGCGACATTGACCCCTCAAAGCTCGACGCAGGCGGCAACAAGAAAGACGGCAGCGGCTCTGCAAAAGACACAAAGGGCATCCCCGACTTTTCCTACTTCCGCTACGGCGACAACGACGACAACGCCGGACCCTCCTCCTCCGACTCAGCAATGCGCACCTCGAACCAAATCACCGAGCGCGCAATGATAGCCCAGAAAATCGCCGCTCTCCAGGCCCTCCGCAGAAAGCAAAGACAAATCCAGCGCTCCGCCAGCGGCGTCGTGGATCCCGCCAAAGACGACGCCAACGACTACAACGCACATGACGCAAAGCAAACAGATGCTGGCGAGCGCAAAGACCCCCAGATCCAGTGGAAACATATCGAGTCGTCGCTTACCTCGGGCCGCAGCAGTATCTCGGCCCAGGAAAGAATGAGGCTCAAGCGCATCTACACTGAGTTTGTCGATGGTCGAGACGGCAATTTGCCCAACGGGCAGGGTGGAACGGAGATTGGGGGCAGGAGCAGTTTAATGTAATGTAAATTCGGGCGAGTAAACTGCATTGTATCAAAGATTTGGGTTTTTTTTTCATGGCTAAGCGCGAGTTTCTTCTTTTTGTTTGCATGCATACATTCATGTCCCATGTCTTGTTCTTGTTCAAGTCATTCATCCAAGACTTTGATAATAAAAGGGGGGGGGTAGGAACCTAAAGTGAGTATTTGTGTAAGGTAGCACAAGAAAGAAAGAAAGAAAGAAAGAAAGAAAGAAAGAAAGAAAGAAAAAAGACAAAAAGGCAGAGAGAGAGAAAGACAGCTAGAAGAATAGGAGAAAGACTTGTCCTTGATTCATGTATTTCGTGTGAACAAGAACCCTCCCCTCCTCCCTGGAAAGAAGAGAGATACAAATATGTGTATTATTCCACTCGGTAACACACACCCTCTGTTTTTCCTTCTCCCGCCTTTCTCTCTCTCTCTCTCCCATGCCACAGTTCTACTTGGAAACCACGCTCTCCAACTTGTCCTTAGCCTTATCCGCCTTTCCAGCGAGCGTGGCGTCGCGGCCGCCGAAATTCCAGTAGTTGAGGTATCGGTATCCCTGGACGACTTGCGAGGTGAAGTTGATGGCGTGGCAGCCAAAGAGCAGGTAGTTGGCTGGGCTGACGGCCAGCGCGTAGCGCATAAACGTTGCAGAGTAGAGCGTCAGGGCGCCCGTCATGCGGCCGGAGATGCTGTTGGAGAGGGAGGGGATGTGTTAGCAAGAGTGAAGGGTGTGGATCTTTGGAGGGAGGAGGTGAAGTCATTTGGGTAGAAAGAGAAAAAAAAAACAGAGGCAAAAACGTACATTTCGGGGTCTTTGCTCATGTCCGCAATGGCCGCGATCGGGATTCCAAAGTTACTCACTGGGCCCCAGAAATCTGCATTGCCAAGGTCGCTGTTAGCATTTCCTGCCCAACGAGAAGTATTTATTGCATTTGCCCCTTGTGTGTTCTCCCTCCATGACTGCGGCACATGTCGTTTTGTTCACAGACATGGGACGACGTTGCGGTTGCGGGTGTTGGTGCGGGTGCGGACTCCGAGGAAGCGGGTTTAAAACGTACGGGTCGAGCAGATGTAATCCGTGTACTTGTTTGAGCGAATCTTCGCATTGAGGGCTTTGATTGCGGCGGCCATGTTTGCGACGTCCCTGTGCTCGCTTTTGCTGGCGGTCAAAAGGCTGTGTGCGGCGGGCGGGAAGGCGTGCGGAGGTAAGCTCGTGGTCGTGGGCCGCGCGCAGTTTGCGAGATGCGGAACGGGTTCGAGTGCCAAGCCTCAGTTGGGGCCGAGCGAACTGCCCTCCGGGAACCCGTAACTGCGATGGGAATGCGCGGCGAGAGGGACATCACGTGCCCATTAATACCGATGGTAATTCCGGGAAACAGGGCATTGGATTGGTTATGGCTGTATATAGGCAAAATCATAATCAAAAGCAATTCAAAGCATAGCTACATCATCCAACTGACAGCGGGGATTCTTGCATTCAATGGCATGTTGTGACTGCTTCTTATTGAGGCTCTCGAGCCGTTGGTATATCCTAAACCCTCCAACCGAACTGTACACTTTTGAATTCGGTATGCTCATCCTGCGAGTGCTATTTGCAGTGTTTGAGCACAGCTTCAATCTTGGAGCTCTTGCGGAGCCCATGGTCTGCTGGACTTTGTCTTATCAGTCCCCCGATGCGCTCCTTGATATTAGCAACCTGGTTGCGCATTGCTTTCACAGCTCGCCATTCCAATGCCTGTTTCTTTTCGTAGTGTTCCCTTGTAATTGCCCGCTGCTGCCCGTCTACCTGCCACCGAATCCTGGAGGGCCACCACGGCCAGGGAAGCCAGGCGGTCCACCGAAGCCTGGGGGTCCTCCAAAGCCGGGAGGTCCACCGGCGGGAGGGAATCCAGCTATCAAATGTTAGCAAGTGTCACTTAAATCGTTTGGGAGAAACGTACGTGGTCCACCAGGCGGACCTCCACGACCTGGGAAGCCAGGTGGTGCAAATCCTCCAGGAGCACCAGGGAAACCACCTCCAAATCCAGGACCGGGAGCTCCGACACCAGGAGCTGGTCCAGTCAAGCCAACGGGCAGACCACGTCCAGCAGGACGAGCAACACCAGGTCCTGCGGCCAGCGCTGCAGCAGTCGAAGGTCCAGAGTTTGCTCCAAGTCGCGCGGCAGGATCCGCAGGCGGTGGCCCATCGACTGAGAGAGAGATGACGTGGGCACCGCGGATAATGGTGAGTCCAATGGCGCGTCGCTCTTCGGTCTCGGTGACTTGCTGGGTTGCGCCCGGGGCGGCTTTGCCCTTTCTTCGTGTACGGCGGAATTCTTCTGTGTCGGCGAGTACGAGGTTCATGTGCTAGAAGCCGCGCGTTAGTTTAGTGCTGGGCAAGTGAGCATGCGACACTGACCTTGTCGAATGCGAGCATCTGCCCGACCATTTGCCTACCATCTTGAAGTGTAACCTTCATGCGGTAGTTGATCTAATCTCGGTAAGTTGGGTGCGATTGTGAGCGGAATCTGGAGCGCTTACTAGATTTTGCTACATCATCAGGCGTCAGTCAGTTTCTATGCGCGTCTTTCCCTCAGGTCAAGGCCTCGAGCTGCGGAGCGAATTCACTTACCATCTTTCCCTGGCGGTTGGCGGCGCCAGACATGATTTGTTTTTGCGCGTCCGAAGACGACTTGAGCTCAGGAAATGGGTATACGAGGTTGTGGAGGAGCTGTCCCCTGTAGTTGGCGATCGGCGGGGCGTATGAAGCTGTTGTTGTTCGCAAGACAAAGTTCATGTTCGGAGCTCTCGCAGCCTGGCACGTGACCAGCCTAGGCTCGCTTATTCGAGCCCTCCACAGCGCCAAATTCATTTCGAGACTGCGAAATCAACTCCAGCGACTTCGACAGCCACCACGCCCACTAACCTCCGCAGTCAATCACCATGGTACGCAGCGCACATGGACTGCAGTTTGCAGCGCTCAAGCTAACAACAATGGCAGACCGACTCCAAGGCCTCCAACCCCATGCGGGAGCTCCGCATCCAGAAGCTCGTCCTCAACATCTCCGTCGGCGAGTCTGGTGATCGTCTCACTCGTGCCGCCAAGGTGCTTGAGCAGCTGTCCGGTCAAACCCCCGTCTACTCCAAGGCCCGCTACACCGTCCGTACTTTCGGTATCCGAAGGAACGAAAAGATTGCTGTCCACGTTACCGTCCGTGGCCCCAAGGCCGAGGAGATTCTCGAGCGTGGCCTCAAGGTCAAGGAGTACGAGCTCCGCAAGCGCAACTTCTCAGAGTCCGGCAACTTTGGTTTCGGTATCAGCGAGCACATTGACTTGGGTATCAAGTACGACCCTAGCATTGGGTATGTGGGATCTGGGGAGTGAAGAAGAAAAAGACATTGGCTGACTGGAGCGCAGTATCTACGGTATGGACTTCTACGTCTGCATGACCCGCCCTGGTGAGCGCGTCGCCAAGCGCAGGAGGTGCAAGAGCAAGATTGGCCCATCCCACCGTGTCAACCAGGCCGAGACCATCAAGTGGTACAAGAACCGATTCGAGGGTATCGTCCGATAAGCGTATCGACGGAGTGGTGAAGAGGGAATGAAGTGAAGATTCTGCACGATAACCAGCATTTTCGGTCTCGGGGGTTCGGTCCAACGGAGTCCTGGAATGTATCTTACAAAAAGAGCAAGCATTGAACTTGCGGCCTATCAATGGAGCTTGACCTTGTCTCGCAAGAGCGGGTCCACGATCACATATACAATGGAGGCTTCACTTGGGTGAATGTTCCGCATAACCATTGTGTGGTCATGTATCTTTGCTGGTTGCTGTCTGGTCGTGATGTGTGTTTGGAAGTAACTACTAACCCGTAGGTCTTGCTTGTCATTGCTTGTCGTAGACGCATGAGTGCTGTCAGTCACTGTCATTGTACTGACTGGAAGTTGTCAGCGCCTGGATCGAGTGCTGTAAAATTATGACATCACTGACGATTCCACGGCAATAATTTTAGTCCAGTCGCAGAGGATGAACTTGGCACTTATTCGTAATTAGCAAAGTATCCTTGGTGTGTATGTCTCGTCAGCAACACTCGAACCCTACTACATCACCATACACATAACAAGGATCTCATCACCATTCCAAGAAAAACCACACCTAAACACCAATCAAACCCCTAATAATAATAATAAAAATTCATCCAACAAAGTCATCACCTTGTACTCCACACCCCCCCATGCCCATGCATGAATCTGACATGTCCTTACCCATTCGGCTGACCAATCTCCCTGTTTTCCGTTCCCTAAATCACAAAACTCTATACAGTAACAGCATTACGCTTACACTAGCGCCTAGACATCCCCACCTCTCATGTACATACATGGAGTACTGCAAATGTTCTGGAGTTGTACATTTTTTTTCTCTTTCCTTTTTTTCCTAACCTCTCTGCAAAGCCGGCTTTGGCCGTAGCTGATTTTCCTTTTTTCTTACTTTCCCTTTGTCACTCTGGTTTTTTTGCTACTATCGATCGCTAAACTGTTCGATATATGCTGTGTTTTTTTTTGGAACTTTGCCTTTGGATAAGGAAAGTTTGGATCCCCGCTTGATACCTTTGAGTAAATGACTACTCTCACCCACTACTACTATTATTATCATCGATACTACTATCATGGCTCTCTATATCTCTCTCGATCGCTATCGCCATCTCTCCATTTCTGTATCGTTTGTTTCTTGACGAGATGGACGACAGCAGAGATGAGGATGGAAATGGAAATGGAAATGCAATAGAATGCCAACAGACAGAACAGAACAGATGGAGCAAAGAAACGAAATCAAAATCAAAATTGCCTTACACCTGAAAATTGAAAAAAAAATCACTCTACGTACACATGATGACGCGCTTGCATAAACGTGATGATGCTCATTCCCGCTTCCTTCCTTATGCATCTGGCATGAATAAAATTAAAATATTGGAAATAATAGGAACACCCTTCGCACCCACTCTCCCAGTCTCACTCTCACACTCGTAACGCTATTCTGTGCCTCAAAAACACATAATACTCATTTATACAATACGCACACACACACACACACACACAAATATCTACACGCCATCAACACTCCACTCCAACCCCCCTGCAAGCGCGCACCCAGCTAGCCAGCTCCAAAACATCACATCGCATCACAGCACAGTACATTCCAGCGTCTCGCCCAACACCCTCCCTCCCTCCGGGCATCATCACAACCACCCTGTCTCCCCCCCTCGCGAGCAACAAGGCCGCAGAAAAGGTCTTATTTGCGTAATTTCTGCCGTCTGGGGGGGGGGTCTAGGCGCTTAGATTTGAAATTCTGCATGCTTACTTACTTACTCACTCAGTACTAACTACCGTTTATGCTATTGCTGCTGATACTCCTGCTGACACTACTGCTATCGCTGATACCGATACCGCACCCTCATGTGCGATTTTATCTGCTCGCTACACAACCATGCAACCCCACTTTGCCGCGCGGTTAATATGGTTCAATTTCGCAGATATCCAGATAAAGGTTAGAGAAGAGAAAGGAGAGGGACGAAAAACGATGCGCGCTAAATCACAATACCCAAAAAGCAACTTTTATTTATCGTTGACCAGTGACTGCTGGGCCAAAGTCAAAGCCGGCGGGTGCCGGTGGGTGTTGCTGTTGCGTTGGTGGAGGGTATGAAGGTGATGCTAGCGGGGTGTAGGCTCCAGGAATGGGTACAGCGTCGTATTGCTGTTCGCCTGGAGCAGCACCAACGTGGTCGTTTCTCCTTTCCTGGAATGCTGGAGAGGGCAGCGGGGGTGAGACAGTGTTTGTGCGTGCAGGTGCATCGAAGCCTTCCTGCTCAACCCTGGGCGTCGCACCAGTGACCTTGATTGGGGGTGCCTGGAGAGTGAAGGGCTGGGGCTGGGCAATCTCACGCGCGTATGCGTATTGCACCTTGTCGTTTTCACCGTTTTCAGCCGCAGAGTGCGGGTCCACGTACATCGGGTGGCCTGGCGGTGGGCGCCAGCCGCCGGAGCGAGGAGACATGGGACCGAAACCAGGAGTGTTGGGTGCGGATTGCGAACGCAGTTGAGCAAGGTACAGATCGGAACGGGCACGGTCGCGCATGGCCATGGACTTGCGGAGCTTGCGCTTGGACCAGAAACGGTAGAAAACAATACCGTAAATGGCGATGACGAGGACCTCGATGACGACTTCAATGATGCAGCAGACAAGAGCCCAGTTCTGATACATGGTTAGAATCGATCATGGTACGGAGAGATAAGATGGTGCTTACCTGAAGACGGCACACGAGGGCATAGGAAATGTCGTCCTCAAAGAGATGTCGTCGCTTATTATCAACACATGACCAGCCCCACATATCCTTGTTGTTGTTCTGGGCTTTACTTTGGTTGAAGACGGCTGCACCTACACCCCACATGACGATGCTGAAGATGAAGAATGCAACGGCGAAGACGGTGTAGTAAGCAGCCACCTTTTCAGCTCGGTGGTGGCCTCCTCTCCAGTAAGCAATGATGACGACGACCGACATGAACAGAGAGATGCAAGCGATGGTAAGCAAGAGGACTTGAGGCCAGACTTTGGTGTTGTCAGCCCATGGTGGCAGGTTGTTTCGCGGTGGCAAATGCTTGGTGGCGTTGAAAATGGAAAATGCAGTTGCGATCATGGACAGAACAATGAGTGAGCATGCAAAGTTGATGCCTCGGAGGAAGATCTTTGCTAGCCGTACGCGTACTTTGATTTTCTGGTTTCTGTTAGTGACTGCATATGTAGAAGGCTGCAGTAGAGACATACCAGATCCTTTGCCTGCTCCTTGTCGGTCATTGCCTCGCGCTTCTCAAGCTGCTGCTCTTCCCGAAAGGTAGGGCTCATGATGGACATTGCGCCGCCTGGGGTCCGTGGAGGGGCGCCAGGTGACTTCAAAGCACTCTTGAGAGGAGTCTTTGGGGTTGGCGGAGGAAGGTAGCGTCGGTCGGTTTCCTCCATTTCGACTGATTGCATGTAGCCAAAGCCGGTGTCTGTGATCTGGGGCTGTGGCTTGTAGTGGTTGGTAGGGTACTCAAACGGCGACCGAGGAGGGTCGATGGGCGAGTGGACTGAGGTTGCTTCGGCGAAGCGAGCTATGCGTGGCGTCCGGACGTCGAGAGACTCTTTGGAGTTTCGTCTTTCAATCGTAATGTGAGTAAGCTTTTTATCGTTGGCGGCCATGCTAAGAATATCCGAGGTTTACTCGAAGGACGTTGCGAGGTGCATCAAGTTGGGGCAAGGGAAAGAAAACAACGACTATAATCCAGCCCAGCTTAGACCAGTCGCGAAGGGGGGGTACAAAAGACAGTTGATAAAAACGACGCGCGACGAATTACAATAAGAGACCTGCTGGAGAAAGGGAAAAGGCGTGGCAGTGGGCGAAGCGCTGGGCTTTTGAGCCGGGGCGCTTGGAAAGCAGCAACGGTCGAGGATTGGATAGTGGGGAGCACGGATGGTGGCAGGTGGGGAGAGGTAACGATGGGAGAGCGGGCGGGTACTTACAACGTTCTAAATGTATAGCGGCTAGAGGGTGGCAGCTGGCACGACTGCAGGACCTCGCGTGATAGGCGGGCGGGGAGACGAGGTGGATTCCAATGGCGCTGGAGGGGGGGAGTGGTGGCTCAGAAATAGACGCCCGGGAGAAGTCGATGCAGGATGTACAGGCGAGGCAGAAGTAGAAGACGAAGACGAAGAAGCCTGGGTTATGGGTAGATACGGCGCGCCTGGGCTGTGCTTATGCTGCCGGTCAGCGTGGCGATATGCAAAGCTGTCTCTTTCGCTGTCTCTCCCTCTCTCTTTCTCGTTCTCGCAGTGTGACTCTGTTGCCGACGTAAGATGGGGCAGTGATGGAGGCCTCCAGACGTTAAGAGGGCGCTCGGCGGACTGGCAGAGACGGGCAGCTTGGGCCCCTGCGAGGAAGGACCGGCGGCCGCGTGCGCTCGGGAGCGAAGAGCGCCCAGCATGGTGGTGCAGAGTCGGCCAGGCGTAGATTGTCGTCGTGTCCAATTATCCAGACTGGTTTGACGCCTGCAAAATGCGACATGGCGGTTGTCGTCGATGAGTGGTTGGGCGGTGCAGGGGCGGCGCAGGGGCACGGGCCGCGCTAGGCCGATTAAGCTTGCGGGAAGCGCGCACGCTGTGCCTGCCGCCCAATCGCTGCGGGAAGGAGCCCCCCAAGCATGGGAGGGAAGGCGCCGCCCCACCGTGCTAGCGGGCCTCGACACGCTTGGGCTGACTCCCACTGCCATCCTGAAGCCATCCACGCCCGCCTGCCTATCTCGAGTCCAAGACACGCCCTCGACCTCCCTCCGTCCACGTCCGCGCCCCCAGACGCTGCGACAGCCACTCGACCACAACCACCGCCGCCCGCCCGCCCGCCCGAGGCCAGGCCGACATAAAGCTGCCGGCTGCCGGCTGCCACTCTCCCCTCGCCTCGCCTCGCCACGCAACTCATCGGCTGCCCGTCTGGAGTCACGTCTCGCGCCTTGGCTGTAAGCGTCGTCAATGCCTGGCAACGCCCGCCATGTGAGCGCTGCTGCATCGCTGCATCCTGGCCCCCCTCCAAGCTGTATACCGGGCCTATCAGCAACAGCCCGACGACCCGTTACCAAGCTCGAGGCTGCACCACCAGGCACAACGTCTGCTACCAATTAGTCCCCGGCCGCGTCGCCACCCTCCACCAAGGCCCTTTGCCTGCACGCTGTCGCCACGCTAGCTGCCTTGCGATGGTTTTGTTTCGTTTCGCTGTCGCCGCATGCTTATTTTTGGCCCCTCTGCTGCATCGCGGGGTGCCACCAAGATGCGCATGCTGATGCTAACGACGCGCCAGCCGTCGTTGTGTGCGTGACTTGACCAGCCTACGCCCACCAGGCTAGCCTAATTTTAACTTTTGCACGCATATTCATAATCCACAGGCCCATAATCGCACTACACTGGGACCATCGGTTCGTTGTCTTTTACATGCAGAGCTGATCCCCCGGAGACGACGGCTACGCAGCCTGTTTCGAAACAAATTTACCCTCTTTCAGCCTCGCTTCCTTTGCACTGGATGTTTTACCTCAAATCCTACTTCTTCCTGGTCAATTCGATATTGCTCATGCAGGCAAGAGGCGTCCGTATTTTTGACGCGGCAGATTTTTCCTCGTCGAGCTGCCTAAAATCCATGGTCGTACGACACTTGGGCGCCCAACTAACCATTGCCAATGCTGTGCCGTCGCCAGAACAATGGTATTTTTAATATCCATCCAAATGGCGGTACCAACGTATCCTGCAGCAACCAATAAAGACGAGTGGGAGTTGCAAGACTGATAATGAAAATAGAAAGGAACACGATGCGCTGGTTCTGATGACGGAACCTCAGTAGTCATCCAGCGCCTCGAAATAGGCCTGGTAAAATTTCGAGTCCCTGTCAGCAAACAAAGGTTCAGGCATCAGATTCTTATCGTCGATACCGCCGCGGATCTGATCGGACACCCCGCCCTCACTCACCTGGAATCTATCCAGCCGCTCACTCGCTACACCCTGGCACCCAAAGCTTGCGCCCGAGCTCTTTCGTCTTTTCCCCGCATACACGCCGTCCAGCTTTCCCATGGCACTCTGCTTGAACGACTTGCCAGCCTCGTATGCAGAGCCTAGAACCATGTCGCGCCAGTATGTCGGTGGGGTGTGGTCTCGCAAAGGCGCTTTACCCTTCATGTCAATTTCACCCTTCAGACGGCTAGCAATAGGCACCGGAACACGGAGATTCAAGGGCGGTGCATGTCTCTCCTTTTTTGCATCAGTTGTATTTTGCAGTGGAGTAGGTAGGCAATCGGCAGCCACAGGTCCACCTACTCCGCCACACTCGACCGGAACATTTGCACTTGATCTTGTGTTTGAAGTCATGAGCGGGCCCGGATAGGAAATTTTCGACTTTAGCGAAGGCTGAGCTGGCGCGGGCTGAGGCTTCCACCATGTACGCGCTGCTTCGCCCACGCGCGGTTTCTTGTTGGAGTCTCTGAGATTTTCGAATGCTCTGGATTTAGGAGACTGACCTATGTAAGCAGGATGTTTTGTCCGCCGGGTCTTTGGCGCTGGGTCGAGCCGCGGCACGGGCGGAAGAGGCTTATTCGTATCGATAATACTGTGAACACTCTTCTCACTAACTTTCGGTACTGTTATTTTCGACCGAGCGACCAGAGAATCTTTTCTCCGTCGTGGATTTGCTGGTTCTTTTTCTGGTCCCTTGCGTCCTTGCTGATACGCTTTCCACGCTTTCCAAACATCCTGACCTTCGCCTTCTGGACCCGAATCATATATTCTCCTTGCAACGCGATACCACGGAAGGGAGTTGGCTGGCATCCTTTTCTCTGTCGGTGTCTGCAGACTAACTGTGCGATAAGGAAACGACGTGACACAATGAGTGTCTTCAATACCGCTTCTCATTCCGTCGTCGCTCTTTGTTGAAGGGTCTCTAAGTTTTCGTGATTCGGTCATTTTGTGCATTTAAATCTTGCGAGTGAATAATATCTAGGTTTAGAGTTATGCGCTGCCTTTCACAGGGGGGGTACCGGAAGAAAGTAAGAAATATAATATAGCACACTGGCGACTAACCAACACCCTAAATTCAACTGTTGTATGAATGCACAAACTGTCAAGAAAAACGTGCGTCTATCACGTGGAGCTGCTTTTAATAGCACAATAACACTATATACGAGCGAGACAAAGAGCTCTAGCATAAGACATGGTCACAACGTTTCGAGACAAGGAGATATAAAACACTGTCTTTGGTTTTGTCGTGGAGTTTTTTCTTGCTTACAGTAGTGTCGGTCTACCTTGTGGGTTATCAAGCTCCTTGCCCTTTGCATTCCATGACACAAACTAAGTTACTACACTTGACAACAGGCGAAACCAAAATCACGTGCTATACCACTTACTTACGCACTACCGCGCAGTCCGCACATAGCCAGCACAACTGCCTCTGAGCCCTCCTCCCCATTCACATCACCCACATACCCCAGCTTCCCGGTACCGAGGTCTGCAAAAGCAACAGGAGTCTGACTCTGATCCGCAATGGGCGCCGGCGGGAAAACAAGAGACTCTGTTCTCGAGGACGCGTTGGGCAGATACCACGCATACTTGCGGGGTACACCGGTGAGAAACACAGCTTTCTGGCTGTAGCTCGCGGGCAGCTCCGCACGTGACGACGACGTAGCGTCGGTGTCGGTGTCGTTGCGGTAAACTGTGGTACGGTGATAGTCGCCGGCCTTCCACGGCAACCCCGCTTTCTGGAATAAGCTCTGGAAATCCGAGGGCCGTGTGAAGGAGCTGAATGTGCCCATGAAGACGAGGATGCCGCCGCTGTGAGCATAGTCCAGCAGCTTTGCGTACACGTTGCCATGCTGCGCGATGCCGCCGTCCGTCACGAGCACTGCGTGGGGAGCCGCATCCGCGAGTGCTTGCATGGCTGACGCGGGTGTCGTGGCGCGGTCAACAGCGCTCGTGCTTTGCAGCTTGCTTAGGAGCTGATGGTGCACCTGTTCGAATGGGGAGCTGTCGTCAAGTGAGACTAGGAGGATATTTTGCTTCTCCGTGATTGCTGGCGCCATTTTTTGGGGGACGCGGCTGAGTAGGTGTAGGCTGGATTAATGCGTTGGGGCGGTGCCGCGTGGAGACTTGGATTTGGCGTTAGTGTGTTGGTGAAAACGGAGTCTTGGAATGAGGGTAGTAGTTGAGGAAAAGAGAGTGTGTGTGTATATGCAGTTGCGCTAGACAAGAGTCCAAGGTCCGCGTCCATGGCTGGTCCGTTTTAGGAGGTTGGCACCCATGCGGGGTTATATGCTTTTAGTCTTTCGTATGTAAGTAGATTGGAAAAAAAATCGTTTATTTTATGAGTGATGCCAACCTGCTAACGCCGCAGATTTCCTAACGCAGTGTAAGACACCATAACCATCAACCTCTGTAGGTTACCCATATATGTACCCCTCTAATATAATTGACGGCAAAGCGATGCATTGCAGATGGACGCTTGATAGAGCCAGTGGCACTTTCAGCCTATTTATGTGCATGAACCTTTACCAAGCTAGCTTGCCAGTCGAATTGCTGGTCGAATATGACGTTTGTTGGATAGAAACACATCTCAATCTGATCATATTTCGAAACGTCCCAATTGGCAAACATCTCGTTAGTGTTGTTGGCTGAGGCAATATAAGAGCCATTAACTTTGAGATAGAGCCACTTAGCGGATTGACGGAAACCCGAGGCTACGTCGTAAAGCCATGCGTGGAACTTGACCATTTTGCCAATCTTCTGTGGACCAGCTTTGCCAACAGCTGTTTTGATACTCATCCTGTCAGTGCAGTACTCTTTGAATTGAGCGTACTTGTAAACAATTATCTTGGAAAGGGAGCGTGGATTGACGCAAAAGCTGACTGGCTCCAGGTGTCCCCACCAATTGTGTTGCGGCAGGCCTTGCGTACAAATTAGGTCCTTGTCGCATCGAATAATTGATGTTTGAAGGGTCTAATTCCGTTAGAAATGATTATACGAAGAGGAAGAGACCTTACACCTGGGGGATCTCGAGTCAAACCGTAACAAATCTGACAATTGAGCTTTCGATTGAGGGTGTCTTTGCACGTAGAACTATGAGCTCTCCAGGTAACACGCTCCCGGCCGAATTTCTCATCGCACGTGTTATCATCTGTTGTCGTGACATAAAGATCACTAGGTGGACATTGCCCGTTTGGAAAATAAGTTTGCCTCTTGGATATATCATCAGGGTCGATGATTCTCGCGGTGCGTGACAATCGAGACGTCCCTGCGGACTGCGGAACGTAACCCGCTTTGGCTGCCTCCTCATCAAAGCCTTTTGATGGGAAAAGATCATCGTCTACTGTGACCAACTCAAGAAAGTCTCCTTGAGCGGGAGATAACAAAGGAAAACAGAGTATAGCCAAAAGGCTTAGCGTGCGTCAGGAAAAGAGCATCATTGGCAGACGCAAGAAAGAGGTATTGTACGTATTGGAATAGCTTGTGTGCTACAGAGTCTGCCAAGGTAACATTCAAGAAAAGACATGGATATGTATATATTTATTGTGTCAAAACTTTATTTGTACTTTAATTGATAGGATTTTACGGAGGTGCCTCACAAAAGTTTTGTCCCACGCTAATCTCGGCGCTTCGGCATAACTCTTCTTGGCGCAACTCCCACCTTTGAGCTGAGTAGCTGTACGATTTGTCTGTATCTATCGTTACAATGTCTCCTAATACTGATCCTTACACCCGCACCTTAATTGTGGCGTTAAAGTCACCTTCTGTTGGCAAGTCTACATCACAGATCTCTGAACTTACTGATGTTCATCCTCGTACGGTCAATCGTATCTATAGTAGAGCTATTGAGGCTGGGTTTCGAGCCAAACGTTCTCCCTCTTAAGATCCTCCCAGAGCACGTACAAGACGCCCCTCGCTCTGGGCCGACCTTCAAAGCAGACGGGATAAAGGTAAAGGAGCAGATTATCCAACAAGTTACGACGGTGATAGATACGGGACGAGAGAAGAGCTGCGCTGACGTTGCTGGG